TTTTAAAGACAAAAATTTTTGAGGCGAAATACCCAAAAAGAAGTTTGTAAAAAAATGAATCCGCCTCAACAATATAGAACTTATCTACAACTTAGAATAAACTTATTACGAATTATGGACATTAAAATTCAATGTTTGTCATTCTGGTTAGCGAGTATCTTCGGAAATTTCACAGTACTTTCTCTTCGTGTGCTTATTTTGGAGATTTTATCGGTTTAATCTTCAGATAACTTGGTATCTGTTCGAAATATTTCCGCAGAATTATGTGAAAAAACTTGCAGTTATTTAAAAGGAACTTGACTAGCTCTCGCACGTATAAATATAGCGAAGAAGATCTGAATTTTTTGGATTTGTTATTGCGTTTTTAGATAGACTGGTGGAAGAAAAAAAGCAGAAGCAATTGAAGGAAAAACTGTTGGAAGCTGAAAACGAACAAAGAAATGTAAGTAGACCCTCTGGCCGCACTCGGATAGTTCATTGGATAGATTAGTCGGGGATGGGCAATAAATGTTGTTTTTGTTTTTTGAAAGTCAATTTTTTCGCCTCCGTGGGGTAAAAGAGGACCTGGGGGACGCCCGTGGCGACATCCCGGCACCATTGGACTTGGGTTTTTAAGATCGATGGTAAGCTACACTATGGTAGCTTACTTTTTCGTTCTCACTTCAGATTTTTCGATTCTCTACACGATCGCTGTATTTTTGGAATCCTGCCACGACTTAGGGGTTTTCACATGAATGTATTCTTCGAGAGTTCGCCACGTTGACTTGACATTTTTTGTGCTCTTTTAGGGGTGGTCAAGCGAGGATACACTGATGAATTTGGAAAAGGCTGCTCTGGCGCAGAAACTCAAGGATAAAAAGTAAGAGAATAACGAAGAACGCGAACCGACCTTTCTGAGGGCATTTTCCAGGAACTACGAAAACTTCAAAAACACTAAAGTTGTTCCTCCCAACCGAGTCATCAAATTAGATCCCATAATCTGTCCGACCAACTCCTCCAAGAAGTTCGTCCCTCCAAATAAATCCAGAAAACTCCCGCAATTTTCAGGGAACAAGGAAAATGGCGTGGAGTTGGTGGAACTGTTGGCCAAAGACCGTCGAACTCCCATCAAAATTCCTCTATGCAGCACCGACGTCACATTGCACAAAGACAGAGAAACTGGGTAACTTGGGATTCATAAAATCCATCAGCCAAATACTTGAGTTTTTTTCTTTTTTCCTGTAGGAAAAGCTGCATTCTTAGTCGTAAAGACTCAGCTTACTTGAAGGAGCTGACACAGCAAATGGTCAATAAGAGGCAACAAGTGCAGGTAGCTGCTTAATATGCATCCAAATTGAATGGTTTTTGAAACTCGACTGATTCTAGAAACTCAAGTCGGTGGAAGAGGAAACATCCAGACGGCACTTTTCGACCTGGGAGTCGTTTTGGGGCAAACCAGGCCACGGTGCGCCTCGATCGGCCGTCAAAAAGGGCTCCATCGAACGGCTCTTGTATCCTCAAATGGTGCCCATCGGTGTAGCTTAACTTGCCAAACATTGTTCTCATTGATTCACTCTACTTAGGGATTTAGAGTAACTGTAGAGCCATTAGAGGTTCGTCCGGTTGATAAAATATATAGCAGCAAACAACATCCTGTGTGTGATTTGTATGTGCATTACTATCCTCTTTACACGTCCAGTCGTCCAATGTATTCGGAGATTTGATGCCAAGCATATGGCTTTTTTGCAATTACTAATACCGTATTTGCAAATTAAATTAAACTGAACTTAACAATTAGACGAATCATGTAAATCCGCAAGTAATTATTGCTCTGAAGCCTATTGGAAACTCGCCAGTTCTCATAACTTTCTTCTACAGGTGATATATGGTCAATGGAATAAATGTTTGCTAATGTATAAGACAATAAAGCTTTTCGCTTCTATGCCCTCGAGGCTTTTATGCAAATTCAGAACATTTTCTAATCGTCGCCTTGATAATGTCCAATTATGTATGCTGATCGATGGAAATTGATTCCGTGAACCGGTGATTATTATTTTCAAGTTTACAAAGGCATTTGTGGAAAATATTCCTGGTTTTCCGTATCTGATATGCACACACTAGACCGGCTATTTAACATTGCGATAATGGAGTTCCTCGTAAAATACTATTTAAATTGATGCTAAAAGCTGCTAAAAGAAAGTGGTTTTTGATTGAAACATCCATTGATCATTAATCAATTGTAATAGCACAATTTGACCACATTGAAACAGACATTTACTGAAGAAATTATTTAGGTTTCTTTTTTGGCTTTAATTACTTTATGGATAATGAATTCTAAGTTCGGTTGGTATTTTCGTAATTCGTGTAATTTTGAAACAGCATGACTAATTAGTAATAATGCTCATAAGTTCATTATATCCAAGGTTCATGTTCAAACTAAATAGAACAGCAACCACACCCGATTGAAAAATTACCTACAGAATTTCATTCAACTCAAAAAAGGTGACCACCGTGAGTATATCGGTGTCATCGAGCACCGCCCCGAATACGCCCGGGAGCTCAACTGAAGAGGTTCGAAGAAAGAAGAAATTTTCGGTGAGGATTCGCATGTCGGCCATCCACCGGTGAAATCGAAATCTTCTTTGCGAGTATCAGTCGATCGTGGATCTGCACGTATATGCCGATACGGGAGTGCATCTTCAAGTTGAGGAAAAAGTTAAGTGAAGTGACGGAAGATTAAAGTGGAACCTTCGAAATGAATTGGGTAGGTTTTCTGGCAGGAACTTCTATCAACTACTGAAAAAGTTAGCTTTTATTTTCAAGAGATTATTGACTAACTAAAGAAAAATGCTGTTGGTTGGTTTGAGAATTTCATTAGCTGCATGCTGCTTTTTCATTTATGCAGTTCGGAGTATAGAAGATTAAATTACGAAAACTTTTGGAATCGGGTAGAAACTCATTACGTAGTTGCAAAATGTAAAATCAAAGGAATTTGCTCATCAAAGCGCAGTCAAAAGCGAAATGGAAAACTCGAGTTTCCTATTTTGAGATAAGCGACTTGTATATAGGAAAATGGTATTCTGAGCTGAATTCTTCTACACAACATCTAAGCAGTCCTGATTGATCGCATTAAACAACATACAAACATAACACAATGCAGGAATTTCATAAACTTTCTAATTGCGATTTTCACTGATCGTGAACTTTAACACTTCAATATTACTGCCCATTGATTTCAGTTGATGTATGGGAAATTCCGTACTCTCGAGGCAAAACAAGCCTTTTCAAGATCATCAGGTTTGATAGGACATAATTAAGAATCAGAATTTCAATAGCGATTAAAAAATGTTTGATAAAATAAATAATATATATGTGTTGACGATCGTCAGCCCAATTTAATTAGAAAATATGCTTGAAAAAGCCGCAAGTCAAACAATAACACCCACATCCCACTTTGTTGTTCCGCTAGTGCAGATCGACAATTGGTGGCTTATTGCCATAAACAATAGTGTATGGGATTGGCAAAAAACCAGTTGTTTCTAGAAGGTAGTGAAACTACTTTCTTCAGTCTTACGAAAATTTTGTGCCGGTTGTGTAGCGACATAATCGTAAAGACCCATTTTCTAGTTCAAAAAATAACATAATTTTGCAGGAGATCATCAAATTAGAAACCCTTTTACCTTTCTCAAAAGAACATTTGCAAAAAATTTACAATGTTGCAGGTTTGTTCTTGGCTTCCAGAAAGTAAAACGTAGACAATAAGTGATCTTTAGTCAATACGCGGTACTGGTTGAGAGCCAATAGAACCCAAAGTTTTTACTTAATAAGTTTGCAAAAGCTGTGTGCAGCTACATCAAGGTACCGCAAATAAAATCATTTGATTTTCTAAATTTTTAAAAAGGTCTGGTTCGCGATATGTTAGCGGAAAATTGCGCAGTCTTAACATACCCAGTAGCATTTAGCGGAGCCATCAAACTGAATGAAGATGGCACCGACTTTCTCTTGCTGATCAGAGAAAAGAAAATTTCGTTGTTTACACACATTCCGACCGATTTTCAACATTACGCGTTGTTTGGGTGTGTCGTCTGATTTTTTTCAACATTAGCTCGCTAATTCAACAGTCTTTCATGACTAGGAAATAGCCAGGGTTTCTTGCGTGCGCTCATCAAAGTGCATGAACTCTTAAATAATTAATAACAGCGTATGAATTGCACTGAATCAGATAATAATCACTATTCATTTGCCGTTCTCAGGGTGGTGGGAAAACAAAGCAAAGATCAACCGTGCTGGTTCACTTAGAGGGCAATTTATGCACGAATTCCGCAGCAAGTGAAATGGAATATTGTCTTAAGTTAAATTGGTGCGACATCAACTTCAATTTTCTTGTGCTTATAAATATTCAAGCTTTATTCTTTCGTCACTTGTCTATTACAGCTTTGCATATAAGTGCCAAAAAGCTCCGAATGAGTGTAAGAGCCGAACTTGCGTTATAGTTTGAACCGCTGGCTGCAGATGTTTTCTTGCGCGGTATAATTTGTAATCAAGAGTTGGAGAACCAGATGTAAAGCGTTCGAATGTAATAAATGCTTAATTATATCTACATCTGAAGTAGTGACTAGAACAGTAACCGTTCTCGAAGTTTTTCAATAAAATTATTGCAAATAAATCACTACAAAGTAACAAACTTAAATTAAACAATTTTAGATTTCTAAAGTAAATTTTCAATGATTGGATGTGGTATTGCGATAACTCCCAGAAGATATAGTTTTATTACCTTATCTTTAGATTAGCGCGCTTTAGTAAAAAAACTGTTAACTTTGCCACCCTGTAGCTAAAAACAAAGCCGTTTTCAATGTCTATGGACCGTTAAGGTCCTGCTATAAACTGACTCCCCCTGTATATTTTCGATTTAGTATTTAAATTGCCTGCCTATTATGCGAAATTGCCTGCACATTGAATAATTAATTTTTTAATTTAAAACTTGATTTAATACAATTGCAAATATATCCACGAGTACCTATCTAAGAAAGGAGAAAATGCTCGGATTCTTGGCTCTTTTTTTTCCTTTACTCACATCCAGCGTAAAAAATCGAATTAAATCCACAACTGCTTAAGCCGGCAATTAACAAAGATGCCACTAAAAGAGAAAGTAATTCCGTTATTGTAGAATTCCAAGACTAAGACACACACACACACATAAAAACGATCGATTGTAAAACAAGCGATTTTCACCGCTTCATTTGCAATTTTTTTAACACGAAATCGCCTGCACTTACAGGTGTTTTTTGACTTTTACAGTATGTCGCGATCGTACTTTTGTCGGCTTCCTGGATCATATCAGCAGCTCCTACCTCAGAAAATGGATCAGATCAAGTGGTTGAATCCAACGCGACCTCAAGCAACGTTTCGATGAAACTGGATTCGAAATTGCGAACTGCACTTTTAAAAGTAGAGGATAAATAGTTGAACCTTTCTGACCACAATAACTTTTGAGCATTTTATAGGCCCTGAGTGACTTGGAAAACGAAGGAAATAGCGAAAACTCTGATGACACCGAAGAACGCAATGTGGAAAGGGCCAATGCCAGTGCCATTACTATCGTGGAGGATGATTTCTCCGCCTCTCCGCCATCTTCAGCAGAGTAAGAAGTTAATTAAACTGCAGACGAGTGATTTATAAAAAGTACCATTTACCTTAGTTGTAGATATGTTCTATATTGTTGAGGCGGATTCATTTTTTACAAACTTCTTTTTGGGTATTTCGCCTCAAAAATTTTTGTCTTTAAAAAATACAGAATTTCCTCACGTCTTTTATTACATATTGATAAATAGTGCTCCCATTTCGCAATAAGAATGAATTATTTATCAAAAAGTAATCAAGAACTATCACCTAGAGGGTATCCTGCGACACACTTAGGCTCAAGCTGTAAGAGA